ATTTTTATAAAAAGTTCAGATCTCTGGGTGAAAATTTGGGATTGTAGCTTAATATATGTTGAAGTTAGTCGTGTATATAAGTTTGAGTAGAAATCCAACGAAGGTAAAGGAATTGGAGGGAAATCGGGAAACGAATTGGAGGGAATTGATTCTATAGGCCAGTTGAGAAATGCTTAACTGAGTTACACATCAATTCCATTTGTTGATTTTTATGGTATTCTTTTTGAGTTTTGGATTTTTTTGTTGATGATGTTGAGTTCATTCTGTCTGGGATCTTTTGCTAGTTGGAAGCATCTACAAATCAGGAGTTAAATCAAAGGATCCCGATGTTTAATTTGCCTCCGAAGATCCTCTGTCGCGTATTCAACATTCAGTTACTGGTATAGTTCCCTTTATTCCTACTTTTTCATTTACTTTTCTACCTTGGATAAATTTAGATCGATGAATATCTGCTCGTAACCGTGATGCTCTCTATTTTCTTAACTGTTGTTACCTTTCAGTAATATCCACTTTACCCAGAAATTGTTATTCAAGAATATAAAATTAGATTGTGAAACGGGGTGACTGAATCAAAACTTGTTTCGATATGATAGGCTGAACAAGATACTGATGAAGTTTATGCACAAATTACCCTGATGCCGGAAGCAGATGTAAGAACTTTTTCCTTTCTTGTTTTTTTTTTTTTTTTTATTNACCAATTTTGGAATTTGGCTTACATATTTGATTTGAAACTATGTTTAGCAAACTGAGCCGATCAGTCCTGATAGTTGTACTGACGAGCCTCCGAAGCCTGATGTCCACTCGTTCTGCAAGGTTCTCACTGCCTCGGACACAAGCACGCACGGTGGATTTTCTGTCCTCCGAAAACACGCTAACGAGTGCCTTCCGCCATTGGTAATTAATCTTCTTCTATATACTCTGGCAGTGTGTTTGCTAAGACCTTAAAAGAGATTGTTGACTTTTTTATTTGAAAAGCGAAACAAAAAAGAGTTTAGCGGTTTGAAATGCCGATTCTGCCTTCTAAAAGTTGTTTTGGACTTGAGACTGCGAGTCCCAATCTTCTTGAAAAACGTGATTACCAGACTCTGATTGGCCGAATATCTTATCCCGGATTCTCTTTATGGAAGCATCAATATTTCTTTATGACTTCACTTCGCTTCGAAAAGTTTTTAGAGTCTCACTTCCCTCTCCTTGACCCTCCTTTTTTTTCTATTTTATATCCCATTGTCTGACCGTGCTAGTTTACCCCCACTTTCATGCTGAGCAACTTTCGCAACTTATTCACCAAATAGCAGCTTTTATTCTCAGCTATTTTCGAGTTCTGCTAGAATAGATCACTTCTCTTTTTAAATATTGCGAAACACTTAGTCGTACACATAATATTACTGTGTACTTGCAGGTAGCGCTTGTCTCTGTTGTTTTTTTTTCCAGATATTTATTCATATTTTTAACTTTGTTGACCATTGATCCTCTTTGATAGGATATGAGCCAGCCTACACCAACACAGGAACTGATTGCCAAGGATCTTCATGGAACTGATTGGCATTTTAAGCATATATTTAGAGGTATTTCATTTCAACTTCCTTGGATGTTTACCTACTCTGAAACTCATTGATATAAAAAATTACATTCACAGCTACCAGTTAGTGAATTTGATTAATAAAGACCACATAACTAGGATATGTAAATTAAGTCAAGCATGATAAATTTAATATACCTCATTTTTTGTGACTGCAAGTTAAAAACGTATATATTTGATTTGAAACTGGCAGGTCAACCTCGTAGACATTTGCTCACAACAGGGTGGAGTACGTTTGTTACCTCTAAGAGATTAGTAGCAGGAGATTCTTTTGTATTCCTGAGGTACTCGTCTGATGATTTCACATTAGGGCCTAGGGGGTATAAAATCACCGATTTTCCTGAATTTCTTGATTTTTGACATCTAATTTTTTTTTTGCAATATTTTCAGGGGGGAGAGTGGAGACTTACGCGTTGGTGTCAGGCGTCATGCCCGCCAACAGAATTCGATGCCGTCATCAGTTATTTCGAGCCAGAGCATGCACTTGGGAGTCCTTGCCACTGCATCTCATGCCGTCCTCACTCAGACCCTCTTTGTTGTTTACTACAAGCCAAGGTCTCATTCACAAAATGTGTCTCATTTTTCTTTCCCACCTCCTCTGCCTTATTATTTACCTTGGGTGATAATGTTTTTCTTATCTATTATTTTGTTTGTTGCATACCAGGACTAGTCAATTCATTATCGGATTGAACAAGTATCTAGAAGCTGTTAACCAAGAATTTGGAGTTGGTATGAGATTCAAGATGCGGTTCGAGGGGGATGATTCTCCAGAGCGGAGGTTGGTTGAAATGCTGTAATGATTATATTTCAGAAGCCAATTTTTTTCTGAGTTACTAACTAAAATTTATCTTCATTGCTGGGCAATCAGGTTTTCAGGTACGATTGTCGGAGTGGAGGATATATCTCCACATTGGGAAAATTCTAAATGGCGACCATTAAAGGTCAGTACATTACTGCATTTGCTCATATTCCTTGATCCGTCCTTTTATTATCATAACTAAAATTTGTCCAATTTTTCTCATGTTTCCAGGTTCAGTGGGACGAGCCTGCATCTATTCCAAGACCTGAGAGGGTTTCTCCATGGGAGATTGAAAAATTTGTTGCAACTGTCCCCACGACACTGCAGCCACCAACAGTGAAGCATAAAAGGCTCCGACCAAACATTGAAATCTCAGTACCTGGTTAGATTTCGTACCTGAGCTTTATTTTATATTTGTGATTATTGCAAGAACTATCCTTTATTTGGCATAAGTACCTAAAAATATTGAAGCACCCATTTTTGAGAACTACATAAGCCACCTCACGTGACAATTACGTTTTGCACCTTTGTTGGTGGAGGTAAAGGAAATTGCGGACAAAATCATATATTTTTTGTCCCTCAACATTTCTATACTTGCAAATCCTGCCGGGTGAACTAACAGTTGGAAAAGATGTATTCAGATTGAAACCTCAAGAGTGGTTCTAGGATTTTTTTTTTTCAATATTATCCCTTTAAGTTTTCATTTCCTTCGTATGCACATTATGACATATTTTGCTAATTACATATTAATTTTGTAGATTCTGTAACTTCATCAGCATCACCCGCGTGGAATCCATCTCTCAATCAAATAAATCGTGCTTTCGAACCCCAAAGGACAAACAACACTGTTAATTCACAGGCTAGACAACAATTGGAAGGAGGTTGGAATTCCCCGCTTGGCGTTAATGCTTCCCATAACATGAATGCTGATGAAAAAGAAGAGAGTAGAAATGCTTCAGGTTGGTCTGCTATTTCAAACCTAAATGAGGTGAAAAAATCGGACAGTGTTGCCTCATGCAGATTGTTCGGGTTTGACTTGAAAAGTTCTCCAGCGGTGGCCACTTGCATGAACTCTTCTGTAAAGCTTGTTGATAAAATAAATGATGCTAGTGAAGTGTATGTCCCAAGTAGTCTGTCGGGTGATTCGGAACATAAATCATCAGGTGTTTCAAAGGATCTTCTAGAATCAAAGCAAGAGCAGCTGCCAGTACTGGCAAAGGAAATTCAAAGCAGGCAGAGTAACTCCTCAAGAAGTCGCACCAAGGTATTTGATTAACAATCGATTGTTGAATGGGAATCATTTTCATGCATGTATAGGATTGATTGGGAAAGCTTAAGGTTTGACATGACTGCCTGAAAAAATAAATGAATAAAAACCAAAACACTGTAATGATTTTGTTGAATCAGATTAGTTTCTAGGGTTGGCTAAATTTAGTGATTATCTTGAAAGTTCATACGATGGTACGTTGTGTGTATTATTTATGAAATTTCTTTCAACAGGTACAAATGCAAGGGGTTGCAGTCGGTCGTGCAGTGGACTTGACCATGTTAAGAGGATATGATGATCTTATAACTGAACTTGAGGATATGTTTGAGATAAAGGGGGAGCTTCGGCCTCGAAATAAATGGGAAATCGTGTTTACAGATGACGAAGGGGACATGATGCTCATGGGTGATGATCCATGGCAGTAAGTTCCATGCACATGTAGAAGAAACTTATATATAATCATATATATAATTTTCTCATTGATCGCAGGGATAAATAGAAGAAATAACTTGCAGTTTCGAAAAAAAAAAAGAAAAAGGATTTGCGATGATCTTCTGAGATTAGCGAAACATGCCCCCTTTGTTATTTCATTTTTCGAACTCCTATCTTCATGTCTCCTTTAACAATTTTGACAGTGCAGAATTTTGGAATGTTAAAACATATTTCGAGAGGAGTTAATTATTTTAAATGTAGTTCTTGCTTTAGACGTGTTTATCAAATAGTTGCATTTCTTTTTTAACTAGACTACACCTAATCGTATTTTCATGCAATTTATCCCTTGTCCATTATCCATATGCGTGCCTGATTATATGATACTTTTTTTAATCACAGGGAATTCTGTAACATGGTTCGGAGGATTTACATTTATTCCTGTCAAGATGTTAAGAAGATGAAAAATAGCAAGCTCCCTTTACCAACTGGAGAATGTGAAGACCAACTCCACACTTGAATCTCCTTTCATATTTGTGTCCTTTAGAGGAAATGAACCAGTTTTGGTGTGCTGTGCTAAAAAGTTTCAAGAAAATGTCAATTACTGGGGGTGGCTCTCGACATTGTTTGGTTGCTAACCGAGATATGGCTTTTGATTGAGGTAACAGTTCACTAGAAAAACTAGCTTAACTGCAGTTCAACTTTGCAACTTTTTCCAGGCCATGACAAGACTGGATCATGGGCATGGATCAGCTTATGGAGTAGAGAAAAACAATTTGTGAATAGTAAGTAGGCTTTTGTGTGTTGTGGTGAAGGAAGACGAGAGAAAAAGGTTTTTCTCGTCCTGTATTTATGTAAATATATTACCATTTGTTTGGCAAATGGTGAGATAAAAGATTGAGGCATTTCTTTTGCTCAGGTGAAACGCTACTTATTCAAGTATATGGGGGTGTGTGTTTGTTTTGTTTCTTTTTTTTTTTTTTTTTTNTTTTGGTGAATCTGGCCATGGACTGCCTGTGGGCGTCATGTAATGTTACAGAGTTTTCCTGATTGAGTTGTGTTTTTATTTTATTTTATTCTCCATGTGCATAAATTGTAAAATATTTTTCCGACAGCTAGGTGAATAAATAAATCAACTAAACTACAGTGTAACTACAAAAATATAGGCGGCTGCTGTTGAATAAGCCTCCCTCCCTATTTGATATTTGTGCCTCTTTTATAATATTTTTAGTTATTTATATCCTAAACAAAAACTGCACTTCTCACATATATGTTTTACTTTTCATAAATGCTCATCTATTCCCTCAAGCAGAAGTTTCCGACCAAAAATAAGAAAACAGAAAGGAGAAGGATTCATCAAGAAATCAGAAACAACAAGCAGCTAAAGATTTGACTAAATAGTAAATAGTCATAATATCAAACACTTGGAGAGTATCTTGTAAGAACACGAGTTGTCCTCATTCTCCAACTTTGGTGCAATGACCCAAACCTTTTGAAAGTAATGAGCCTGGAGGAGCTCCAGATGCCTTCAAATTTTCTTTTCCTTAACCTACATTATATATATAAGCATAAAGTAATCTAGGCGGGAAATCACAAGACAAGGTGAAACATAAAGGGGAAAAGTAAGATCAAACCTAAACAAAAAAACAGTAAAGTAAAAATTAAAGAAAAATACTACAAGTACATAATAAATGTACATAGAAGTGTACATAACACTCACATAGAGTGAGGTCCACTTAATTTTTTATTTTTCTTAGGACCTGCCCAATGTGAGTGTTACGTAAATTATTATGCATTACTCAAAATTAAATGAGAGCAAAATTGAGAGCACAAGAAGACAATGTTTTGTCAACAATAGCCTGCTCTTTTGTCTGTAGAATGTTACGAAACTAGTCAAAGATAAAAGGGAATATTTTTAGGAAAATGTGATCAATAAATCCCATTTCACATCATTGAGTATGAAATTATGAATGTTCATCTGTATGTAGCCTCGAGAGGCCCATGACCTAATGGGGCCTATAAATGAGCAACTCATTTAAGCCTAAATTCCTTATTTTTTTAAAAAGGTTAATCCAGAAATAACAGAAACATGACCACCACCACCGCACGGCCGCCCCTCAACTCTCTCCGGCCACTGCGCCGCCGCCACGTCAATCGCCTTTTCGCGGCAGTCTACGCCGTGGCCGTACTCTCTCTCCTCCGATACCACACACAAACTATCCTCGGCTCCACCACAATTTTCTCTCTCGTCACCTCGTTCTCTCTCCTAATCGCCGACCTCATCCTGGCCTACATGTGGTCCACCACCCAGGCCTTCCGCATCAACCCCGTACGCCGGGAAGAGTTCCCCGAAAACCTAGATCGGAGGGATTTTCCGGCGGTGGACATATTCATATGCACGGCGGACCCGCACAGGGAGCCGCCGGTGACGGTCATGAACACGGCCCTGTCGGTTATGGCGTACGATTACCCGGCCGCCGGGAAGCTGTCGGTTTACGTGTCTGACGACGGCGGGTCGGAGCTGACCGTGTTTGCTCTGATGGAGGCGGCCAAGTTCGGGAAGCGGTGGCTGCCCTTCTGTCGGGAGAATAACGTCACGGATCGGTGCCCCGGTGCTTATTTCGGGTCGGGTCGTGATTTGAGTTCAGAGGCTGCGGAGATTAAGGTAATTAGTGGTTTAAATTTTGTTAATTGACTTTTTGCCGAAGAATTTCTTGACATTCGTGACGCGTATGTGGCCCAAAGAAAATAAATTAAATAATTAAATAACTAATAAAAATAATTCTCTCTCTTGCCTTCATTGGCTAGCTATAGTGTGGACGAAAATATGATTCTTTGTTGACATTAGTTATACACATCACCACAACATTTGTGATCACATTCTACATTGGAGGATGGAAAATTGTGATATTACTAAATGTGTTGACGTTTCATGTAATTACCATAACTAACATTTGAACATTGGAGATGCTTTAACAAAATGAAGCACCGTTGGTCACATGGCGGGGCTTCTTATGTCGGGACCACAACTACGTATAATCACTTAGAGCATCTCTAATGTTCAAATGTTGTTATGGAATAAATTTTGACAAATGTCGATAAATTAAATGAATTGTGAACCATGTAGGAAAAGCATTATGTTTACAACTATGAAATTAAAAAATTATCTCGAATGCACGATGTAGTCTAACTACAACATTATCTACTTATCAAATATTAAAATTTTATAATATGTAAGTAAGAAAATTAATTAAATAATTAAATAAATTAGAATTGGTAAGAATAATTCTCTCTCTTCTCTTTATTGATTAGCTAGAGTGTGAAGGAGAATGTGGATGAACCACAATCTTCTCTATATTGTAGACATTAATTATGTCCACATCATCACAACATTTTTCATCACATTGTGTATTGGAGGATAAAAAATTGTGACATTGCTAAATATGTTGATGTGGGATGTAATTTACCACAACATTTGAACATTGGAGATGCTCTCATAGCACTAAACCTGCGGTTACAAGGTAGAATCACCCTAATATTTGATGGGATATTGTTAAAATAAAAGTCACATCTTAGAATATAAATTGTGAAAGAAGCTACTCTCCCTCCTATTTTTAACATTGTTCTAAACATCAGCCTAGGCGGCGCCTAGACGCTACGTGGTGCCCGGGCGCCTCCGATTTGTACAAATCGGCAGAAAAAATCGGCCAGGCGGCTACGCAGTGCCTAGGCGGGCTCGGCGGCCAGGCAGTTAGGCGGCGTCTAGGCGGGCGTAGGCGGACTTAGGCGCTCCTAGGCGGGCTCGGCGGTAATTTTTTATTTTTTTTTTATTTTTTTTATTTTTTTAAATACTAATTACATTATTTTGTTCTCATGTTTTCTTTAATATATATTAATATTATTATTTAGACTTTAGTGTGTGAATTTATTATAAGTTGAGATAATTGTATTTTGTAGGTAGGTAAAATAAATAAAAAATAAGGTATTTAATATTGATTTCTGGGCCCCGACTAGGCGCTCTAGGCGCTAGGCGATGGTCGAGCGCCTAGCGGGCGCCTAACGACTTTTAGAACACTTATTTTTAATAAATATCGTTTTGAGAAGTTGCACAATAATTAAGAATATTTTTTTGCCAATAATAACCCTCATTAATGAGGATAGAGATTGATGTTTTGAGAAAAGATGGAGAGTGAATATGAGAACACGTAGTGTATTTATTAGTTAAATGAGGATAATAATGGAAAAATATGTACAAAATAGCCAAAACGACATGTATTTAACAAATAATCAATTAAGCTATGATGACAAATAATAAAAATAGGAGGGAGTATTAAATTACTAATTTTATCTCTATTTAATACTACTTATATATATGTGTGCGTGACAGTGTCAGAAATGATCATATATGTGTAAATTATATCGTCATATACTAATGAAACTAGTGTGTACCCCGTGCGATGCACGTGAACAATATTAAATTAACAATATTATAAATAGACCTCGAGTTTGAGTCACTCAATTGTGAAAGTGGAAACTACTATTGATCCTATTTAAGTAGAGGAAGAAAAAAATAATTATAAATTAAAGAGGAGGATAAACAATACTTAATAATTATAAATTAAAGATTCGGGGTCAAACAATGTAAAATTATTTTGTATAAGAGAATATAAAAAAATTTGATTACACACCATTTAAAATTATTATTATACTTTTTTGTATGGTTAGCTTATAATATTTGTAAAAATATTAATAATTAGACCGATGGAAATTAACTTCTTAAAGTAGATAATAGATTTGTAGTAGTAATTATGAATTGGTTTCTATTTTATTTTATTTTTTCTTTTTAAAGATAATGGATTTCTAGCAGTAATTATGAATTAGTTTCTATTTTATTTTATTTTTTCAAATCTGTATAGATAAGAGATGAGATTTTTTAAACGATACAATGAGATTTTGTAACAGGAGAGATAAGCTCGTGTAGATTTATATTAAAAATAGAAAAAAAAAAAAAAACAAATATTTATTGTCAAACAACGGTTTTGATAAACTAAAAAATAGGAAAAAGAGAAACAAATCTTTACACAATTAATGGGCCGATTTTTTTGCCTATTCAGATTTGTTCAACAATTACTATATGTAGGATATATTTAATGATTTTGACGGGAAAACGTTTCTAATTTGTAAAAAAGTTATTCTTTTTTATATAATGATAGATTGACATGCTATAAAATTATTAATAACATTATGTATGGCATTACCCTTTTTTATTAAAAAATGAAGGTTGAGTATGAAATCTCATTCCGTGAATAGAAAATCTTCTTTCACCATTTTTATCTTTAAAAAAAAAAAATCAGGAACTAAGCGTGGTTGATTGGAAGCAATGTGGAATGGGTAATGTCCTTGTTTAATAGCGTAAGTGACTTGTGCCGAATTGTATTAATGGCGCTATAATATTGCCACTCTTTGTAGATAATGTACGCCAGCATGAAGATGAAAGTGGAGAATGTGATGGATAGAGGAAAAGTAAGCGAGGAATACATTACAAGTGATGATGAGCGACGATTCTTGGAACAATATTGGGCCCAAGATTTCACCCGCCAAAACCACCCATCTGTAATTAAGGTCTTATTGGACTCTAAAAAAGATAGGGATATTGGAGGTGAGCCCATGCCAAACCTCATTTATGTGGCCCGACAAAAGAGTCCAAATAGCCCACACCATTTCAAAGCAGGAGCCCTCAACACTTTGGTAAGGACTCCACCATTATTTCACATGATCTTGTTTTGTATGACCGTCAAGTTTGTTATATATATATATATATATAGAATGTGGTTCAAATGAGAACCAAGTCCTAGTGTGAGAACCGTGAGAACCGCTATTTTTAATTGTATGTAGTGCTATGATTAATTGTGTTTTAGTGCTATTTTTAACTAGGATGTATTTGATTAAAAATAGCAACAAAATTTTTATTAGCATTTATGAAAATGATAGCACCATGTAATATTAAAAATAGCATCATACACAATTAAAAATAGCATCAAATATGGTTCTCACAGTTCTCACACCAGACATAGTTTTTATTTGAACCAGCCCCTATATATATATATATATATATATTTTTTTGTTTTTGAATAACTACTTATTAAAAAAAAGGCCCTTTCGATTTAAGAGAAAGTAAGTAGATTATAGATAATCAAATTTTTAACATAATATTGCGATTTTTTTTATTTTTTCTTATTATATACCCATGTCTACTTTTTTTAATATATTTTTTTTTTCACAATAGCTTCGAATTTCAGCAAGCATGACCAACTCTCCAATAATTTTGACATTGGACTGTGATATGTATTCCAATGACCCATTGACGGCCCAAAGAGCTCTTTGTTATCTTCTCGATAATTCGGGTGGGCCCAATTGTGCGTACGTCCAATTTCCACAACGTTTTCGTGGGTTCAATGAGGCTGATATATATGCTAGCGAAGACAAGCGCGTGTTCATGTGCAACCCAATTGGCATGGATGGGCTGAGAGGGCCCATTTACATGGGAAGCGGTACGTTTTTCCCTCGTCGTGTTTTGTTTGGAGGCCCATCCATGTATATACAGCCTGAATTGCCAGAGTTGAGCCCAGATTGTATTGTGGGCAAGCCCATTGACAGTGAAGCGGTTTTAGAGTTAGCCCATCATGTTGCCGGATGCAATTATGAGAACCAAACAAAATGGGGATCAAAGGTAACTATATAATCTAAGAAATATTACACGGTGATCAATAAAATTCTTTTTATTTTCTATATTTTCGATGTTTTAAATTGCAATTATACTCACTTTCAGTGTTTGTTAATAATTGATTTGCGGTTTTTTATTTATAATTCGTTTATAAATTATTTATGTATATGTTTATTTTAATGTCGTATTTTTGCAAAAAAATAAAAATAAAAAGTGTTAGAAAATTTATAAAAGAATTGATATTCTCAATAGTTTGATCTTATTTTTCCGTAATACAGATAGGCTTTCGATATGGGTCGTTGGTTGAGGATTATTTCACGGGCTATCAGCTTCACTGTGAGGGCTGGCGGTCCATATTCTGCAATCCAATCAGGCCTGCCTTTTTGGGTGACGTGCCGATCGCGCTGAATGATGTCCTGATTCAGAACCAGAGGTGGTCTGTTGGGCTTCTAGAGGTGGGCTTTTCCAGGTATAGCCCATTATCATTCGGCATAAAGACTATGGGAGTCCTGATGGCCCAATCGTACGCACACTACGCCTTCTGGCCGATATGGGCAATCCCTATCACAGTCTACGCCTTCATCCCCTCGCTATGCCTTCTCCAAGGAATACCCATTTTCCCTAAGGTAAATTCAAACGTTTATATAATGTCACTTCAATTTCAAATTAAAGTAAAAAACAAAAAATAAATATAGTACAACAAAATTATCTTATTCCAACCATATAATATTCTACGGAATTTCAATGAGTATTACAATGTTATAAGTTACGTTAGAGATTTTTTTTTTTTTGGGTAGAAAAAAAGAAGAAGACAAAAGTGGAATTTACTTTGAATTTTAATGGTTATTATTGGAATTATGGACGGTGAAAATATTTCTTCATTCGGAAATCCTTGGTTGGACTCGTTAAAATTCAAGTTAACTTCCAACAAGAATTTAATTAAAATGTAATATTTATTTTTACTCTATATTGAAATTTTATGGGAAGTTATAATATTGGATTATCTTACTGTTAATTTTTTTTTAAAAAAAGATATAACAACTTTCTTGTGGTGTGATTAGGGCTACAAACGAGCCGAGCCGAGTCGAGCATTGGCCTTATCGAGCAGGATTAAATTTTTTTTTGAGTTGCTCGAGCTCGATTTTTTAGGCTCGAGCTCGACTCGAATTCAAAATGCTCGACTCGGCTCGAGTTCGGTTCGAAAATTTTCAAATAATTTTGTCAAATTATATATATAGAAGGGGTATTTTAGTAATTTACCATATATCTCGAGCCGCTCGCGAGCCGCTCGACAATGTAAAATTTGGGTTCGAGCTCGACTCGAGTTCGTGCTCGAGCCGCTCGAGCTCGACTCGAGTTCGGTCAAACTCGAGCTCGAGCCGAGCTTTGACTCGAGCGCTCGCGAGCAGCTCGTGAGCCGCTCGACTCGTGTGCAGCCCTAGGTGTGATCATGCAATTATATGTTAAAATTACAAATACTACCATAATCCTAATTAAAAATTTTATATATCACACCTTTACATTTCATTCCATAGTCTGAAAATTCTACCAAACTGTCTTCTTGCTACTCAGACCAACGAGCCTACATTCTTTTTGTACGCATTTTTATTCATCGGAGCCTATGCACAAGACTGCTTCGATTTCGTGAATGCAGACGGCACATTACTAAAGTGGTGGAGTGACCAGAGAAAGTGGCTATTGAGAGGTCTCTCGTCTTTCCTATTCGGGTTCATAGAGTACGTGGCCAGTCGTCTAGGCATGGCCGCCAATGTGTTCAACGTGACGAGCAAAGTCATGGATGACGAGCTACGCCAAAGGTACAACCGAGGGACCTTCGAGTTTGGGGTCGAGTCCTCCATTTTCGTCCCATTAGCAACAGCGGCCATTATAAACCTGGTTGCCTTTGTTGTTGGGTTTGTACGCGCTTTTAGGGATGGAAGCTTTGTCTGTTTTTTCGTGCAGATGTTTATTGCAGGTTTTGGGATTGTAAATGGGGTGCAATTTTACGAGGCCATGGTTTTGAGACGCGATGAAGGGAGGATGCCGGCGAGTGTCACAATCACGTCGGCTCTTCTTGCGGGGTTGCTCTATGGAATCGCGTCTCTTCTTCTACATGCATGAATAAATTACTAATTAATTTCATTTGAAAAACATGTTGCTAAAATTTATGAGCAAAAATGCATTTTCTCAATTTTTGTGTCAATCACAAACATGGGGAGTGAAAATGGAGAGGAATCTATCACATAGACGAATATCATTGTCAAAAAGTAAAACTAAAACCATATGATTGTTTGCCAAGCAAGATCCATATGCGAGGGGTAACATTACATATGGTCGGCATTACAAATTGATAAGAATTTCAGTAACATTACAAATTGATAAAAAGTTTAAGGCAATACCCCAATTTTAACAGAAACCGAGAGGTAAAGCACATAATCACGAGCTCTCTGCACTGGTCGGAGCAAGAGTGGTGGTGTTACACTTACGGTGCCACGGAGGCCAAAACGGTCAGCTTCAATGAATTTTAACTACGTGCTATGTAAAAATTACTGGCTTCCCAGTTACTAAAAGTTAGCTTCAGACACTACTCATTTTGCGACTCAAGATTCACTGCTCATCTTTTACGGTT